GTCATCGATTATTTTAATAATCTATTAGTCGTCGACTAATCGACTAATCGTGGCAGCCCTAGAGGACAGACAGGTGAGACAACAGGTACTTATCAGATCGAGACATCCTTGTTTCAGAGCATCTGTTTTGAACCATTTATTAAATCTGACGTCTGACACGGCTGTGTTGTGTTCACGCTGGTTTGTTACAGCGTTCCTCATATATCTACACGGCAGCAGTTCGAGTGCAGTCATCTGTGACGAGCAACAAGTATGTAACCTGTTTAGTAGAATTGGACTGCCACAAGCGTGTGTGATTATCAGGAAACAACTCAAACACTGTCTTCCAAATTGTTATGCAAATGATATTTTTCTCTGATGTTCCTACTAGCTGGTGCAAATGACAGCATTATTTTCAAGTTATCACTTGTTAGAGGATAACTCAAAAGTTATTGAAAAAAAACCCCTCCCAATTAGAATATAAAATAAATAAATACGTAAAATGCAATGTTTTAAATTACTGTGTAAACCAGGTTTCAAAACATTTTATAGGTTGTAAAGAACTGAAAAAAATAGTCTTTTGTTGAATTTGCAGCAGTGGGTCATATTTACTGAACTAAAAARCTATTTCAAAACATCTTAACAAGTTAAGCTTCTAGTTAATTTAAAATAGGATTAATTGAACTGGTGAGTTTTAGGAGTGTTTCTGCTTGAATTTCTTTGCAGGATGTCAGAACTGCCTCCCAGCCTCAGAGATGTTTCGCTGTAAAGTTCTCAATAAGGGTTGAGGTCAGGGGAGGATGGGGGCTACACCACGARTTTCTCTCCTTTTATGCCCGTAGCAGCCAATGATGCAGAGGTATTCCTTGCAGCATGAGTTGGTGCATTGAATTGCATGAAGATAATTTTAGTCTTCATGTATTTCTGGACCCACTGAAGCCGTTTCTGCTTGTGAGCAATTGGTTAGTGGTGGCTGAATAGAAGGTTTATGCAGAACTGCTAGCCTCTGGTGGATCCTATRTGTTTGTGGGACTCCAGACGCACAAGCAGCTTCAGGAATCTGTTTGCCACTTTGTAATGGCATCTCAGCAGCTGTTCTACTAAACTGGTGTATTTGTCTGGCAGAAACCTTCCTCGTCGTGTCTTTTTCTGCACAAACCCACATGTGCTCTGCCCTGAAACAGCTGCAAATATTTTATCAGTATGATGATCMCTCTTTAAGTTTTTGTGAAAGGTTTTCATACGTTGTATAAATCATTCAACTGTTTTCATGTGTTTCGGCAGTAGAGATCCTTTTTCTTTTCCATATTTCTTGAAAATGGAGGTACGCTTTTTAATGAGCAACATCTTTCTTCAGTAGTTTTTCCTTTAATTGGGTTCACCTGGCAAACTAATCACAGRTGTCTGAGCTTGATTTCAGTGATCCAAAGAGCCCTGAGAAACGGTACCATGCCACAGAGCCCGTCCAGTGACATTGGATTAAGAAATTAAATAAATTATTCTGTGGCTATGGGAAAAATAACACTTGGCCACAAGATACATTTATCCAGTGTCACTGRACGGGCACCGTACCATCCATTAATTAACTTGAGAAAAAAAATTGGGCGTTAGGACACTTACACTGCCTGGCCWAATAAAAAGTTGTCACCTGTATTTAAAGGGCTATGATGTGGGGTTGCTGCTGTTGGTCGGGTCTAGGTTCAGCAACATTATGTGCTCAAAGAATGAGAGTGGCTGACTACCTGAATATACTGAATGACCAGGGGCCTCATGTACAAACATTTACGTGGATTTCTTACTGAAACGTGGCGTACAGTCAAATCCAGAAAACGGCGTACGCAGAAAAAAAATCCAGATGTATCAAACTGTGCATACGCCTGAATCCACGCACATTTCTTTTGTACATCTCAATTAACGTGGACGCCTCCCCTGACACGCCTTCACAGATGCAGATTACTTCCTGCATGTGTGAATGACATGTTTGTTTGATCCCTGCATGATCAGAAGTGATTTCTAGAGTCAGGAAAATAATAAATTTAATATAATGTGAGTGAGAAAAAAATCCTAAGTAAGAACAGTAATAAAATATGTTTGTTACGCAAAGAACGAGTGATTGTGTGTCAGTGTGTGTGTGTGTGCGCACGCTGCTGTGGTGCGCAACCGGCTAATCCATCCATTCGGAGCCTGGAAATATTAATTTTACGCAGGAGTTTATTACCATAATTACTGTAAACACAGAGGAACTTAGATGTTTGGTAGAACGTAGATCTTTGTTTGTTTCATAGCTGATATGAAGAAACGAGTCTCTGCGCCTCAGTAGAGTTCACGTGACGTGACGTGATGTTGGAGAGTCTCCACAAACGCTGTGCGCTCCGCAGCCTTTGTGTGCAGTCTGTTTGTCTGTTGTCACAGCATTTTCACAAGTTGTAAAGTGTACTTCCACATGTCATTTTGGAGAAATCTACAACTACGTAAACGCCAAGTATGAAACACCTCCTACCGGTGAGGGTGCGCGCGCTCCAAAGCGCGACAATAACTCAGCCTTAGAATCATCTGGATGAGACGATTCCATTGGGCAGGATTCTGCTTTGGGTGGACTGGACTGACACAGTCCCGATTGGTCTGTCAGCTCCCTCTGGAAAGCTCCTGTGGAACCCCAGKTTGATCGCTGCTGCTRCACGTGCATGGGTAGTGCATGGCTCCTCGTTGTGTCGCGCTCCAGTGCGCCGCAGTGCCAAACTGAAAACGGCTGATGAGCAACTCGTCATCGTAGATCACAAAATTCTATTTACAAATAAAAGCTCTGTGTGTTACACTATTTATTATATTCTCCAGTAAGGCTGAATCTGTTCCTGGTAAATGAATTTTTTGGCACAACTTTTGCACATCCTTTATTTAACTGCGTCCATGTGGATGTAATAATTGTTAAACATGTGGATGTAATAATTGTTAATCATGTGTGTCTGCTGTGAACAATAATCATTTTCACCTCATGARCAGTTTCTCAGAATCACCTCTAAGTGTCTCCAATGGAACCAAAACCACAGAAGCGTGACACCAGCCCTGGAGTTGGCGTGGGGCTGCGCACGTTTCCACGTTCATTTCAGTTTTGATACATTCGGAGTTTTGCATGGAAAATGGTGTATGCAAGGGTTTTGCGCGTGCGCACCACTGATACATGAGGTCCCAGGTCATTCCATCAATGGAGTTTTTCTTCCCTGATGGCACAGCCATGTTCCAAGATGACAATGCCAGGATTCATGGGGCCGATATTGTGAAAGAGGTGTGTTATGGTTCAGGGAGCACGAGACATCATTTTCACACATGGATTGGCGCCACAGGGTCCATTGAGAATCTATGGGATGTGCTGGAGAAGGCTTTGTGCAGCGGTCAGACTCTACCATCATCAATGTAAGATCTTGTTGAAAAATTAATGCAACACTGGATGGAAATAAATCTTGTGACATTGCAGATGCTTATTGAAACACAGCAAATGAGTGCCATAATCAAAGCTTAAGTTGGTCCAACGAAATATTAGTGTGTGACCTTTTTTTTTGGCCAGGCAGTGTACAATTTGCATAATAATTTGGAATGGGGCGTAATAACCACTGATTGAAAACATCCATCTATTCTGTACCTACTTGATCCAGCTCAGAGTCACAGAGAGGTAGCGTATACCCTTAACAGGTTACCAGTTCATGACAGTCATTAAAGATAGAGCAAATATACTAAATGCTACCACTATTTCACTTTTAAAAAGAATTTCAATGAGTACAGGGCTCATCACACAAGAGATTAACACCCCCCACAATAAAAACAAACAACACACCTGACACAAACAAAACTTACCAAAATCATAAAAACAACATATAAGTTGTAGTAGAAACTAATAGGTGAACCATAAAAAACAACTCCAATTTGTTCAACAGTTAAAATTTATTGGTAAAATTAATATCAACACAGTTAAGTTGTCACAATGCGGAGATGTTAATTGGCTCTCCTTGTTGCAGACAAACAGGAAACAATCAGGATAGTTTTGATTAATGATCAGTGTTGTGTCTCTTCCAGATGTCACTGAGGATCCCATATTGGATCAAGGAGAAGTGGTGTTCAGAGGGTAAGTTTCGTTACAATACACATACACTTATCTGACTTTTTGTTCTTAACGCTGCACAACAACTGCTCTGCTGAGTCTGTTTGGGAGCCAGAAACTAAATATCACCTGCTGTTCACTCTGCAGGTGGACTGTGTTTTACTTTTTTAAACTTGTTTTTAGTTAAAGCTTGAGTTCAGAAGGAGCTCTTTAAAAAACCTTGCATGTTCGGGAACATTTTAAATCAAATAAAAGCTTTCAGCTTTCCATTTGCTCATATTAATTACAGATGATTCAGACATTAATATACAGGTGCTGGTCATAAAATTAGAATATCATGAAAAAGTTGATTTATTTCAGTATTTCCATTCAAAAATTGAAACTTGTGCATTCTTTTCATTCATTTCACACAGGCTAATTATTTCAAATGTTATTTCTTTTAATTTTGATGATTATTACTGACAACTAATGAAAACCCCAAMTTCAGTATCTCAGAAAATTAGAATATTGTTAATAGGTTCAATACTGAAGACACCTGGTGCCACAATCTAATCAGCTAATTAACTCAAAACACCTGCAAAAGCCTTTAAACTGTTGTTCTGTAGACCAGCAGTTCCCAACCCTGGTCCTCAAGAATCCCTATCCTTCATGTTTTACTTGTTTCCCTGCTATTCAACAGGTCTTCAGAAGATTATTAATCACTCATTCATTCAAACCAGGTGTGTCAAATCAGGGAAACATCTAAAACATGGAGGACAGGAGTCCTTGAGGACCAGGACCTCTGCTTTAAATCTTGACATACACCTAAAGAGCTTCTCTGAGCTTGATGAGACAATTTCAAAATATGAAATATTATTACATACTGTATAATAATATTATTATATATTATAATATAAGTTTTGTTTTTTAGTGCTGCATCCGGAAGCTATTAATTCTTTGCCATTTATTTGTAAATAATAAATCAGATAAAGTATTATGTAGTATGTAGGTATTTTTAAAATCCAGCAGGTGTCAGTATTCAGTGACACAGTATCGACACGTATCGATACAGTTTGGTAATGTGTCGAAACAACACATGATGCCACATCTACCTATCACTACTGGTTTGACACCCCTGGTTTGAATGAATGAGTGATTAATAATCTTCTGAAGACCTACTGAATAGCAGGAAAACAAGTAAAACATGAAGGATAGGGATCCTTTAGGACCAGGGTTGGGAACTGCTGGTCTACAGAACAACAGTTAAAGGCTTTTGCAGGATTTTTGAGTTAATTAGCTGATTAGATTGTGGYACCAGGTGTCTTCAGTTTTGAACCTATTAACAATATTCTAATTTTCTGAGATACTGAGTTTGGGGTTTTCATTAGTTGTCAGTTATTATCATCAAAATTGAAAGAAATAACCTTTGAAATATATCAGTCTGTGTGTAATGAGTGATTATAATATACATGTGTCACTTTTTGAATGGAATTACTGAAATAAATAAACTTTTTCATGATATTCTAATTGTATGACCAGCACTTGTAATTTATTTCTTCAATGAAGGACAGACGTGTGTGTGTGTGTGTGTGTGTGTGTGTGTGT